CTTATAGGGAGTGTTTACTAGAAATAAGCGATTTTCTGAGCGTAGTTGCAGCAGACGGTGGCCATTATCTGATTTTGAGCAATCACAATCTAAGATCCAGCCAGGTGTTGTTCTATTTCATTTAGTCTACATACTTGAGCATTGAAGTCACCAGCCATTATTACTATATCAGAACGCTTAATCTTTTTGAAGGTTAGTGAAGTTTCTGTAAGACTGATCTCTTATCTCGTCTGAACGGCAGTGAGTGGAAGCGTAGGCAGATACGGCGAAGAGGTAACGGCGAGTTTTCCTATCTTTACGAGTCCTTACTCTCCCTTTTAGTCGGACGGCGCACAAGCGACTATCTACTGGGATCCAGTCTAAGAGAGCTAGTTCTGCCCTAGGACTCAGTGTTACACCTACTCCACCGAGGCCACGGGAACTAGCAGTAAGGCTTCCACATACACGAAGGGTAAGTGAAGTCGGTTCTTTATTTAAACAACTGGCTAATTAAGTTTGTCCCACTTGACACAATATCCCGACAATAAAAGCTCCAACGTGTAGTTAGAAACGGAGTTTTAGTAGACCAGGAATAACGTTTCGTGAATGTGAATCATTTGCCCTAGCGGTGCGGGGGGATAAAGGGATGTTCGAAGGGTTAGTTGTGGAGATACGATAGATGTTAGGGGGTTTACGAATAGTTTGATTGTGACCAATTTGGTATCATATGTTGTTACGGGTTTGAGGGCGGATGTCCTTTCCCGAGTGCCTACACCGTGGGAGGGTATTCCTTGAGGAACCTGGAGAGGAAAGTGGGTTAGTGTTGGTCTGCGAAACGTGGTAGCGTGACTGCAGGGCCCAAGGAACAACTGCTTGAGGACGCTCGCGCACGGCACTTTATCATGTTTCAAAGTGTTAGCTCCGCTTTTCGAGTGGCCTTACCACTGGTGATGAAAGTCCGTGAGGTAAGGTGAAGTGTGATATCTTTAGGGTTGACCTTTTCCAACCACTTCCGTGTGAGAAGGCAGAGTCGCTGCAGATGCTGGTTGTCCGAGAGAAACACCTGACTGCTATCACATCCCTCTACAGTCAGCAGTACAACTTCGCCCTCAGACCTCGAGTAGCTGCTTTTAGTTTCACTGTTCTCTAGTTAATCTGCCCGACATGATAGAACCTATAGGAACATATGTTTGAGCTAATATAGCTGGGTTGGGTCATCACGATAGGCAAGCCTGACCACCACCACATCAAGGTAGCAGCTACGGTCGCGTCAGACTGATGTGGAAAAATTTTCAAGTCATTACTGGCAATTTTATGACACGTATTTCATCTAATTATAACTATTGATCAATGTTAAAACTAACTGAGAATTTATCCTCTTCCAGGCTATGCTTACTGATACTGTTTTGCTGACAGAAACAATATAAAAAATTTACATGTACGACATTCAGTTCTTGCAGCTACGTATATTAAATCTCATATCGTCAATGGATTTATTCAATCCAATGGGTAATATATATCTTTAGCTGTAAGAAACAAATTCCCTAACGCTTACGTCGGTCCACAGAAAGTATGATATTTTCGAGAACCGAATGAGATTGAAAGTAATTCGGTGTGAAAAAATAAAAATATTTCTGTAAAGAAAACTATTTGAATATGTATATATTAGTTATTAATGAAAAGTGGCAGTCATCAAATACAGCTAGAATTATACGCTCTATGTAAACTTGATTTCTAAGACAATAATAAATAAATTCAGACCAAAGTATATGAGAGCTTTATATCTGTAAATAAAATTCAGAACTATGGAGAAAAAACAAGGGAATGTAAGAAAACAAACATCGAATCCGAAAAGTTAGTAAATCAGTTTTTTTTTGTTTTGAACTATTTAATTCGGTCTGTTCCATCAAAACTGATTTCATCGAATAGCATCTGATCTCTGTCAATCAAATATTCTTCCAAGTTGAAAATTACACCGAGGACCAATGTGTTTCTCGATTTTAATCAAGTCAACAATCAGTAATAAATTTGTTGTAGGACCTGTTACAACCTGCTAAAGGTTTTGTTCAGCACTCATGTTTGTTTAGTCTCCACAGAATAAATTTGTTGACATTGAGTATTGATGTAACCAGTACACAATTAATAATGCGTTCATCACCATGAATCATATCAAGGAGCTGACTAAGTGACGTAAGGAAAAAAACAGCACTTTAATATACCTACCTATGTATTAGGAATGTGGTATCCGTTAACATACTAAACAAATATTTAGGACTACTTAGTGACATCAAAATCAGACAGAATAGCTATGATTTCTGATGATCAATGATTATGTACTGGATGAATTAAAATACAACTCACGAAAATTCTCAGTACAATTTCAAACCAATATCCAGAAAAAAAAAGAATGAAAAGCCTAGTCACGTCAACTGATGCATTTTAAACAAAAAAAAGTAACATTAATGATGAACTTCTTAATGACTATTTAAGCATTATTATGTAAGTATACAGGGTAAATGCATATAAGCACACTGAAACACACTTTGTATACTTAAGTGATCAACTAAAAACACTACAATAAAGAATACTTGAATGAGATATCTTTATTTGTATTCAACAATTATCGTCAATATCTAATTCTATTAAAGTTTATATATTATTTATTTTTAATATTAAATTCACTCAATATTATGTACAAGTTGAACGAGGTTTGTAGTTCTTTTTGACCTTGGAAATATTTGCTTACTACAAAAAGTGAATAAATAATAACTTTGAATATTTATCTGATGTATTCAGTAAAACAAAAAATTATTTCTATTTGCAATGAAATTATGTGCCTTTCCCTTTTGCCAGTGAATATCACTTTGCTTTCAGCCTCACTATCCAAAATAATACGGACTTTTGCATTTGAATGCACTGATTACGCAATAATCTTGCGTATATTGGAAACAGTCGACTGAAATGGAATTTTAAAGTTTTTTGAAAACGGAATATTTGTATGATGCTCAGGTGAACACTTATGTGTCAACAACATTACTTTTGATGAATAAGCGTAAGGTAATATTTTTAATTAAAGCTTATCCGATGTTTTGTGTTTCAAAAGTTGTTATTTATTTGATTGGATTATACATTTACCCAAACATAGGAAACAAGTGAATACTATCATTTGATCGGCATGTTAATGTCTAACTTGATCAATGCAAGGAGTTGCGCAGCCTCATACACAGTCTTCGGTAGTTACCATCTACACCCGAACAGGTTGAACTTCGTGGATGCACACTGTTGATGAGTCAGTCCCATACCAGGACGAAACGGCCGTCCAGCACTTCCCGGTTTCTTATGGTGGTCTAACATTAATCGATTCATGGTTTTAATATATATATAGTGTAGTTAATTAATATATTCATTTACAAAAATCATGGAGATATTTTTTGGAAAAATGATTTAGGAACTTTTAAACCATGAAATTATTTTTGTAGAAAATAAATTCATGAAATGGAATAAAAAAACCTTTTAAACTAGACTCTTCTTACACAATGATGAAGTACGGGACATATTAAATGTGAGTCTTTCTCTGGAACCGACTAACATATTCAGAAAATCTGAACCGAAGAATTTGAACATAAAAAATTTATTTTATAGTGACTAGCTTTATCCAGATTCGGATTGATATATTGACCAACGTAGAAAATTGAAGTTTTATTCAATGTTTTCTTGTTATTTTACATTGCTAAGTTCAAAATGATTTGATCATCAAAACTTGCGGTTAAGCACTCTGGGTCAACTATAGTTACTGGAATTCATTAAATCCCTTCTTATTTTTTGTAATATGAGTCAAAATATCTTTGATAAATTCAATTATGAACACCAGAGAGTAAGCAGTAATTAGCATTGTGTAAATAGGCAAGGAAACACGCACTCTGATCTATAAGGTTATATGAGACTTTTGTCTCTAACCAAGAATGAGTTATCTCCTTTTAGGGAATCGGCTTCTCATACTGATTAAGAAAGCGGTTTACGAGCTTAAGCATGGATAACTACCAGTTTCCAATGAACAATGTAAGTCAAGGGACTGCGTTGACAAACACTAATGAAAAAAATGAACACGTATTACACCTAACCTACGATAACAGTAGGAATGAAAAAAAAAACTATTCTATAACCCCTGATACAGTTTACATCGACAATTAAAGCAGTGAATATAGTAATGTGAGAGGTGTTCTTGTTGGACATAACATTGAGAAAAAGTATGTAGTCGATTTACACAATAGTGAATGGTTTCACAGATTTTAATTTCACTTTACGCAAGCTTATCAAAAATGTGAACGCATAAATTCCATTGAAAATTCACCGGGTCAGTTTTTAGCATTTGTTGCGAAAACTCTACTAATCAAGAAAGTGAAGGAGATGTTAAAAGATCACAGATCAGTCGTTGCATTTCATAAAGTTTAAAAGATTATGAAATTATATACACTGGGCAATTGATTAACCTATATGTACAATTGGTATTAACCAAGCCAAGAGAATGTAAGTTTAACAAAAGACAATAGAATTAATATACTTGAAGTTTATTTCTCAAAGCTCGAACGTGAAGTTGGTATCGAATAATTCAGTAAGTACTCTGGCTAAATATTCATCTAGTAAATTTTATGAAATAGATTTTCCACCCAGTATAATAACTTTCCCGAAAAGATTCCTATGCAAACAGCCAGCACTAAATCTTGCATCATGACTTTCACAGAATTGGACGTCTGCTGGTGTCTTTATAATCATTGATCATTAGAAATTAATTTTCTTTAGAAGAAAAATTATGAGGACAGATGAAATGTCATGCAATTCATGTTCATTATTAATGAAAGTTTTTTTTTTTAATTTTTACTACCTTCTTAATTCCTCTGAGAACTGTCGGGTTAGCGTTGCACCTACTTCAAATAGATTGGTACAAATGAAATTAAATCTAGAACATATATTAAAAAATGGAACAAATAATTGAAATAAAAAATAACTCATTGTATTCTCACCTCCATTCAATGAATACCATCTTGCTCCATTTGTGATGCCATCATTGAAGTGGTTATTGGGATCATGGCACCTTTTAATCCCTTTTTTCATTCGTAGATGATGATCAGCATAAGATTCTGCTAGTTCACTAAAATTTTGGATTTATTTTTTGTAAAAAAAATATATATTAAACGCCTGATTTGAACATTTCAATTTATTAACTGTCATAATAGGTTTGTATTATTCTTTTAATACATTGGTTTCTGAAAACATTAACAACTCCGCATAAATTGATTTAATATATTTAAAAACTTTAATTATAGTAACAGAATTAATTATAATGATTTAGCTGAACTGAAATCTGTTATTTCTTTTCCAATGTTCAGATCTTTTCGTTGTTGATGTGACAGATTGAATTTTGATCAGTCCTCTTTGGTATATGTACACTCCAAGTGAACCATCACGGTATTTCTTTCAAGTCAAAAGTATTCAATTAAAAAAAAAGTGGATAGTGGCTATCACTGGAACTCAGAAAGCATATTTTGTTCCGTTTGAAAATAAACATTGAGATACAAAAGAATCCCAAGTAGTAAGAAATAAACATCACTATCCATCTTTACTCAAAAACTGAAACCTAGTTTGTTAAATATTGTATTTTTTTCTAACACAAGAACCTGTATTATTTATTCCATAATATAAAAGAATGATACTTCAAAGTAGTTTTAAACAGGAAATTATGTTTTTTTCAGAGCGAATTGTATACAGTTATTACTTTACGTTAATCGTAGTATTATTTGGATTCTCATTGGTGACTGAATTCTGTTCGTCAAGAGATATGGTGCAGTCCAGTTGAGAAAGCATGGAGTACTAATCCAAAGCTTCATATCAATGAAATTCAACTATTTGAAGCCAGACCCAGTGCACAGGAGGTGAATTATTTTTTTAACTAATACACAAACTAGATTCCTACTTTAGTACAACTCTGAGGTACTGGAAAATATTTGTTTATGTTGGATAGGATGTTGAAGGTGATGTGCTCTTTCAGTTAGATATGTTAATCATAAAATCTTTATTGTCTGGTCAGACAGTTTTATGAGCCGAAACTTCGAAAAATAAGAGGCTACTGAAACTTAGTTTGCATTGAATCTATGAACTCATTTGGCAGACACAATTTGAAGTAGCACATTATTTTGAGCTAGAAACCAGTGTTGAGAGATGCACAGTTAACTTTAGGAAAACAACAAGAAGTGTTAACTTAAAAAATTGATATATAACTCATTTCAGTAAATCCTAAGTGATCCCAGAAAATAAATGTTTACGACTTATGTCTCACAAAAAATAAATGCAGAAAAATTTGTGAATCAACTCACACAAATGTGGGGTTATCTGGTGTAATAGATTCGGCAGCATACCCAGTTGTCGACTTATCAAATGGATAATTTGCAACCAAATCACCGCCATGCATATTTGCACCCAGCACAAAATTGATTTTGTCTAACCATTCCATTACCATTTTTGTCTCTATTTGCGCCTTAATTGATTAGTTCGTTCAAATGAAAAAACAGAAATTGAAAAGGCTCCAGTAACAAAAGACTGATAAATGAAAAAATAATCGTAAATTAAAATTAATTGATTATTGACATGATTTGTTCAATGTTTTACAAAATGAATACTTAGATAATCTTCTTGATTAAAATACCTAGTTATGCTATGAGTTATGTAAATGAGAAAAATCATCATCATAGTGTTTTCAAGATTTCTTGCGATTTCTAACTTGACGACAATCTTTTTAAACGGCTAAAAATTGTAAATCGGTCTGTAAACATATTACTGGTGCCTAGTTAATGTGTTATGGAGAGTAAATAGATGTGCGAACTAGAGGTGAGTATGAGTCAAAAAACATTTAAAAGTCCAAACACTTTTTTAAGAAAGACACTTCCCAATCTAGAATATTTTGTCCTCTAATAATGCAAGCTTTATAGAATATATTTATGGTAAACATTGACGAATCAGTGTAGTTGATTTTCTGTAGAATGTGGCATAATATTTTTAAAGAATGAATTCATTAGTTGTGCATTATTTTTTTAATGCAAAAGCTTTTACTTGAATTGAACTCTCAAAATCAAACGCTTAAACTGTTAAAAATAGTTCATAGCGAATATTGAAACCCATGATCAAAGTATTTTTAAATAAGCGGCAAATATGGAGATGGCGAAAATTTGTAGTTCAGATGGATGAATGGAGTGGAGTTTCGTTCTCTGAGCTGGATGTTCGTTGAGATATAAGACAAAAAAGAGTTCTCCCTTCTCCATATTCATTTCAAAAACACTGGAATCACAAATATAATCTATGTTTATTATGATAACATTTCGTATATATTTAATAGCAATAATTTGAAAAATATCGTGAAAAATGATGAGAATAAACACACAAAATATGTTATTCTTATAATGAGATTTAAAATAATATTTAGGTGCTTGAAAATTGATCGAGAACGTTAAAGAAACTAATAATTGTCTAAGTGGGTTGGAGAATACTGAAGTGGATTTCATGATTTTTCTTCTGAACATTATTATCTGTAACGTGATCTGGTTGTTAAATTAAATCTGTTCCAAATAATGAACACTTATCGAAATGAGATAGTTATTCACAAGGACATTAAAATGCTTCACAAATTAATGGTACGTATTGGTTAAGAGGAAATATCAGTTCCCAGTTTCTAGCTCAAATAAATTATTCTGTTTCAACAAAAGTACGTTATTATTTGTTAATTGGAGCAAGTGACAATTTTAGAAATTTTTTTAAAGACAAAATACCATAAGAAATCCATATGTTTCGAAGAACAAGTCATACAGATGATTCAAAAATGTAAAAAAGGCAAATGAAAGTTTCTAAGATTATGCAAACCTTAACTTATCCAGTGCTTCCAGGTTTCTAATGGTGGTCTAACAATGATTGATAGATGATTTCAAATGTGTAAAAACACAAACCTTCAAGACTCTGCCCCAAAAAATTATCTGTATAACAACTGAAACTTGTGATTATTGGTGGTAATTTTTCTGCCCATTCATCTAACGACAATGAAAACTTCACATTAATTCAGAATCTCTAGATAAATACTGGCTGTGACTCATGTCATATATTATGCTCCTACCTAAAATACCACCATTCGGTATGAAACAGTCGACTTAGATAATATACACTTATCAGTAACAGTGATCCATCGATATAAATTTGACTTTCTAACATTCTTGATAAGCTGAAAAATCAATTAATTCATACTGCTGTAGTTTTAAAATGAATAAAACTCTCCTTAAAATACACTGATAGTTCAATTTTAGGTAGAATGGCGAACTGGCAGACACATTTATTTGGAGAATTTCGAGTTGTTTAAGACGTGAATTACACATAGTTGCAAATGCATATCCTTTATCATCAACATTTTTATAAACAACAGAATGTCCATTGTTACTCAACGAAAATAATCCTTGGTTTTTCCATAGTTTAGTATGGCAAAACTAAGATACTTCCCATTCTACGAACTCCACAATACTTAAAGGTTAACAGGGAGTCAAAGGGGGATGCAATCAGAATAAGGTTGCAAGGCCAATAGCAAGCAGTCAAGATCAAGCTACAGGTCATACGTAGAGAAATTCGAATACTTCACTTCTATCTGAAGTATGTGCTGATGACATTGTTCAGAAGGACAATGAAAGCTCCACAACCAAAACATCCAACTCAGTAAACAAAACTCCACTACAATCATCCACCCGAGCTACAAATTTTTTTCCACAATCTCAAAGGTTAAAACTGTATTTCAGGTATGATATCTTTCCATAAAGATTTTGAAAGTATATTTGAATAAAATTATTTTTGTTGACAGTAAGCTAATCATGCATATAACTCTATGGTTCTTGAATTCACGCACGGAATGTATTTTAACAGTGATTCACAGTGTACATTATGACAGCGTTCGATTTTCAGTGATTTCGAATATTAATCTAGCAAAAAAATTTCATGCGTTGATAAATGCAGACGCAAGACTCCCTTTTTAGCTGTTCTATACAAGTACAACTCGAACATTGTTAAAAGTTAATTATTTATCGCGTCAAATATTCCAAACCGCTGAAGGCTGAAAACAGAACATTATCTTTCGTGTTTTCTACCCAAATTAAACACAGTGATCAGTTCACTAAGTATAAGAGATAAATCAATAGACTATTTGACTTACATAAATAAAATAATAGGTTTAAAGTAAAATGAGACGAAGTAGTAGTGGTATTTTATTCGATTTTACTAAAAACTTGAAAATAAGCTTATTCTGTAACCACATTCTTCAGCAAGCTGTTTTTAAAAGATTCATAGACTCTGTAGATGGTTGTACTTTATGCACTTCATATGAACTTTGGGTAAAAAAATCACTTTCCTTATAGATACGATAAAACATTCACTCTCTTGCCGCAAGTATTTTTAAGAACTATGCTTTAAAGTCAATCAGATCTTCAGAAAATTAATGAATATTCAGACATATTGATGTATTGTTAATCATAAATAGATTTTGAAACTATTTACTTTGTTAAAATTTCAATGTAGAATTCCTATTTCTTCTGAGAGAAAATTTCCTGTACGAGAAAATTCGAAGTTATAATGGACTGTACTCACGACTAACCAAAGACATCTGCGATGTAAAGCTAAAACAATGGTCAGGTTTCATGAATTTACACCAAGCCAGAGTACAGGTAAATTTTAATGATGCTAATTTATATCAAAAAAGAATCAAGCTGATTTTATTTTCTATATCTTTATATTATTTAAAACCAGATATATTATAAAAGCCAGCCAGGTGTTTCATCTCACATAGGGTCTCTTCGTTTGCGTTAAATATTGACTACTGTAAGGGGTAGACGGAATATGTAAATTCCAATAAGTTTCAATTACTGGAGATTTCAGCACAGTGAAAGTTTCTGTTTTGCAATTTAGTAAGAAGAACAAATAAAGCGAAGAAACTTATTTTCCAATTAGTTTTTCATCATGGCTCAACACTGACATATGTTTGTGATTTACAACAATGAATTAATCTTTCGTTTAAACCATGAATTGATCATTGCTTGACCACCATTGAAAACCTGAAAGCAGTGGAAAGCTGTCTCATACTGGTACTGGACTCCTCACTAGTACGTATCCACGAACCTATGGAATGAACCGAACCCAGGACATTTGGTCTCTATTACTAATGCTTAATCCTTTGACTAATGAGTAGGTATCCAATGACAGTCTGAATTCGCCACACCTATAAGTATTCATTAATTCAATCGCACCCATGAAACCAGTTATGTAGGGCGTATATTAGAGTTCCATTCTAGCTCACTTGGAGGACAGGAAACATCAGTCTGACTAGGAAAAAGCTAATAACGCCATCCCTAGATACCATCATGTTACATGTTTGTCTTTGCATATTGCTGAAGCTATCTGAATCCATATCTGTAAACCCAGCCTTTACATTCAAAAGAAGTTCGTACAACTAACTGTCTCTGCCTTGACTATTGATATAACAGTGAGTTTTAGTTGAGTTTTAATTAACCTCGTTCTTTCAAAACGTACGTTCAAACAACTTTGGGATTTCTTCCACCTTTTGTAATTTTACATACTCACATAAATACTTTAGTACTGGCCTCTCGACAAAACATTTGGTGAGTGTCTTTGAATATGTTATTTAACGCGGAAACTAGGTGGATTTTTCGAATAAGTATTCTGATTACTATGGTCCTTTTTCTTTCAGTTACACGATATCATTTTATGACCATTATGACATCATACAGCAATTACGGTATGCAACTACTCGATAAGTCACTGACTTTTGCAAATCATATATATATATATATATATATATATATATATATATATATATATATAAGTATAGAGCCATTACTAAAAACTAATCGATAGGAAATTCCTTCGACTTTTTTTTCTGCTTAAGATATTGCATATTTTCATCATTAGGCACATTAGTTTTGGAACTATTGGCTTAACAATTGCTACTAATTTCCAAATTCTTTTATCTGAGCGTTCAACTACAAACTCCGCTAATCAATAAAGAACCAGTGACAAGTGTTCTTTAAATTGTTGTTTACTTTTTTAGTTAGCTCTGGTTCAAAGATTAAAAATCATTTTTTGATTATAAATAGGATATGAAATTAACTCGATAAATATCATATGAGTGTAAATGTCGCTAAATACTTTAGTAGCCAGATTTAGAAAGAAGAAAATGACAATCACCTATTAAGCTAGCTCACTGGACATTTTACTAACAGTGATAATATTTCAAAAAGTTAGTAATCTTTGAGCAGTAAAACGTTCAATATGCATGTTTCCAAACCTATAAAATTTGACGAGAACCATTTAAATGATAGATTAAAGCATAAAAACCATTAAGCAGGTAGGCAGCAAATGAAATATAATTGTTTCACGGTTGGTGAATCGTAGGTAAAACATTTTATCTTCGACGTGACAACTGCTATAGTTTGCTACGTTAATGTCTAGAGAGAAACAATTTTTCAAATGGTTAGTGTGTAATAAAAAGTGATTTTCAGTGAATTAATCATTATATTTAATAGAGGTTTAGGCAACATATTCATTTTCGTTAAGTGTTAATGATTGTAGAGATTTTTCTGGCCTTTTGAAAGTAAAAATATTTGAATCCAGGACTCCAGTTCGTAAGTCAACCTAGCTAATAAGATTTTAATAACTATGCAAGCAGAAATCTCAAACTTGTATTGCATACAGTCAACTGAATCCTGTTCAAAATTTCAAGGACTGTCACTAAGTTGATTTGAATTAATCTCTTGAATAACTATAGATCAACTTAAATAAATTTGCTTCAGTTATGGTATATTTAATCTACATACAGACCAACTTCATTCTTCAAATCACTTGAGAAGGGGTTCAGAATCAATAACACATTAACTTTCGTCTTTCAAACTGTAGACGTGTAAAACAAAGAAGACAGAGTATATCAGGTCAAATAACTGTTAGTCAAAGGACTTCCATATTAATTCTGAAGGAAAGACACTGTTTAAACATTTGGAGAAAGCACCTTTCGTATGCAAACCCAAGATGAATCTCCTAATTTTTGTTATGAGAAATAAAATATACATGTTAAAACTACATAAATATATCCACCATTCTATAGAGCATCCGATAGTGCAGTTTTTTATGGCAGACGGAGTAAGTATACACTGGCTAACTTTTGTTGATATCAAATCGATTCACTAAATCATTTAAGAATAAGAAAGTACATTATGCAACGGTTTTAAAGACCTAATTAACTCTGAATACACAGGACTTTTATATTTACCATGATATAAATTTACCTTCTGCACATCGACTTCATCAGGTTGCAGGTGATCCAAGGGTCCACCGCTCAGTAGATTGTGATAGAACTTCTTTGTTAAGTCGGGAAAGTCTCTATTAAGATCCACTCTTTCCGAATTGTCTCTGCCAAATTCACGAGAATAACTCTAAAGTTAAAATTATATAATGTAACATATTGTTACATTATAGGCAGCGATTTCCCAACCATCCGGGTTCATAGACGGTAAAATGTGTATCCTTGTTCGGCTAAGAAGTTTGTGGATAAGTGGGTTTTCCGCAATAAACTCATCACACAAGTAAACAGCCAACCGTATTAACAGCTCTCTTCCAACAACTTCATCTCCATGCATGTTTCCAATATACTTAAACTCTGGGATACCTATAACGATAAATCGATCTGAATATGAACAGTACCTCTTTTAGATGAATTTACATGCTTTCCAAGAGCGATTACAAACAACCTGTTTCCATTTTGTGTTGTGGTAATGCCACCAGTTGCTAAATAGTACGCCTGAGAAATATCGGGACATTTCTCAGTAACTCTGTTAATTATGCGTTCAATATCTGCTTGTGAGTGGTGATTCCGCCACGAAATAGAAATAGTAGAGCATAAAACAGTGTGAATAAAGAAAAAACCAAAAAGACAGTTCATTTAGGGTTTTTAAAAGTTTGCTAAAATGTATAGTTACAAAAGTGACCTCGTTAAACAAACATCTCGTAGTGTCGACTAAGTGTCAACGCAAGTAAACTGTCACTGATTCTTTCTTGATTGTCGCCGTTCTTTTTCTTATATGCCCAACAAATCTATAAGTGATTGAGACAGTCAGTTCCTGTAGATGAATAAAATGCTATAAATGTTGATTGTTTAAAAAAATTTCTGTCTCTCGTTACTTGTTTTTACATGATATATCACATGTCGGAAATTTCTCTGTAGTTTACTTTTGGTGAATTTTTTTAAGAAAACCTCTAATGGGAACAGAAAACATGGCATGAAATAATTCCGTCCCCCAACACGAGTAATTTCTGATCATATTTATTGAAATGGATATCTCACAATCGTCAATACCAATTACTAAATTTAATCATCTATTGATTTACTTAGTTCTGAAATATTCTTATTACCATAAGAATTTTCTGTTTATTGTTCTCCTGTTTGCAACTAACTGATCTACGGCCTGGAAATGCGATAGCTGCTGGTATCCGGAAACCCTGTTGTCCTGAAACAAACTTATTCACTCAAAGTACGGGACGTACAAACTCACACACAACAGCTAACTTACTAGAATTAGACAGTCCAGTGGCTAGACCCCATTCATCGGACACTACGAAATACCTGGAACCGTACCTAAGGAACAAGAGTCGAACGCAAATAAATCAAATGGTTTACACTAGCTCGTGAAAAATATACAGGATGTTTGACTGCTTAAACTTGGTTAAAATGGTTTACGTAAAATTATGGATAACGTCTCAGACTCTGTGACATACAATACCATAGCTGGCGTGAGTTACGACGGTTACGTTATGAAGACCCACTGAAGGTTAAGAACCAATGCAAGGTAAACCCAGATCTGCATACACCACGATTTGATAAGGTAAATGTGCAACGATCTTCTTGTTCATACTCATCAAATAATAAATTTGAAGGCTCCTAAAAAAAGTTACCAGGTCTTCGGCAATTATCCAGGCTAATATTTAAGGAGTAGAATAGGGTGCTAAGAAAAATAAGTAAAGGGAAAGACCGAGGATTAGAAAAAAAAGTGTATTTGTTTAAGTCTAATGTATAACTAAGCAGATAATGTTTTTAGATGAAACAAATGTATGATTACTCAGACCTTACTTTTTTTTGTACTAGGACGCTAGCTTAAACCCGCACTTATGTAGGTTGATAAAGACAGATCAATAGTAAGATACATAATAGAAAAATATTCTTATAGGTAGATGAAATTCAAAAGGACTAATGTGTTAGAAATAATGTCGATTTACAGAATATATTAACGAAGAATAGTGATCTGATGGTTTCGCGATAGTTTGTCTGTCCTTTCTCCTTTTTAACGTTGTAGCTCAAGAAGTCATGGGTGAGCTCTTTTGCAGTCTAATTGTCTAGATCTGCCTGTAATATAGTTTCTTGGCAGAGAGGTAAACCAGTGCAAGTTACGAACATGATTTGTAGAGTAACATCAATGTCGTGAGCAAATAAAATGTTTTGCCCCACTGTTAGGATATTCATCCAATATCCTAAGAGAATTATTGGTCAATTCCTATTGGTTAATTCCTACTGGTTAATTTTATGGTCTTCCTAGATATCAATGTCACGTGCTCCAATGTTGTTCCTTATTGGTTGTCCTGACTATCAATGTCACTTCAAATGTTGCTTCCTATTGGTCGTCTTAACTGTCAATGGCACAGACTTCAATGCTGTTTCCTATTCGACCGAAATGTATGTAAAAGATCTGTAACGTTCTATGACCAGGACCTGAACCCCTAGTCCGGGATTCTGATTTTCCTCTGGACTCGGACCTCGAACTTTCTTAATGCTTGTAGAAAACAGGTTCTACTCCACATTCAAATCTTTTTATTTTCACTCAATATGGGGATTAGGATAATCGGATTTGAGTAGCATGTCGTGTCGCCGGATCCTTGATTCTCGCTCTCGTTTTCCGACTAGGTAAACTCGTAATAGTTCAAATATATCAAGTTGACGTGTTTACGTACAGGCGTAACACTCACAGACATGGGTGGATTGAGGTTATCGCACCATCGTCATGTTGCTGGTTAGATACACCACCCTCAGTCCTTTTGTGATCTTAGGCCCTCTTACGCTTAGTGGTAGATCTCAAATAGTGTTTTTCAGTCTACGCTCTGCTTTTAGTGCACGTCGTCGGAATACACTTCCTCTCCTATCTTCACATTGCAAACAAACCAGAAAATTTTTGCTTCCGTATGTTGGACTAAATATCCACGTAGCATATCACCCTGCTCATAAGTTCGCTTATGGTGTAAATTATAATATTCAGGTCAGTTAATAGGCAGTTTCGTGATAGAAAGAAGAAAAACAGGAAAAATAGTGTTAAAATTCATGAGTAAGACGATAAATAGGTAAGAAATCAAGGTTTTTGGATGTTAATGAATTGGGTAAATTAAAATGTATTAGACTGTCTATCGACTAATTAGAGGAAACTCACAGTAATACACGAAGTTTGAGTTCCTCGAAACTGGCAGTAGTTGAGCAGCACCTACAGGCTTTTGAATTTATCTGCCAACTAAAAATAAAAACTAAAAGAGTTGTGAAAGATAACAAGATAATGATGCGAATTTCGATTTTAGGAAAAATCAGAACGTTACGGGTAGCACCTCAAAAGATTGATCTACTACTGTAAGTAGGAGTAGGGGCATTCGTCTATCATTTCGTGATACCTATGTGGATGGTGATGCGGATGAAATATATAATTATGACCTGTTAGTAGTTTCTAAGGTTGATCTAAATATTTGATGGACCATAAAAGAGTGCATGGGGACTTGGTGTGAGTTCCGGGAATAGTCGATAAATCTCTTTATGGTCTAACAACAGCATTACTAGTTTCTTGAACTTAGTAATTGTGTCACAAATACAAATGGTAATTGGTTATCTGTTCTATAATAGTCTGTATCGAATGGCAAAGAAATTACAACACAATGAATTTTTGTGTTTCGTAGTCTGTAAGCAGTGTTGTGGTTCATAACTGGTCGGTATTTTACAAACGAGAGAAGACTTATCAGTTTATAGAGAAGTACCAGGTTGTTTTTCAACCGAAGGCGCCACAGAAGTTCTAGGGAAAGATGTTTGCATCTTTCTGTGTAGTTGAGGTTGTGGCTCCAACCGAGCTGTCACCGGGTGAAGCTTCTTTGGGAATTTTCTACTCGTATCTTGGCCACGATATTCATATTTGAGAAGATAAGTGAGCTATATTCAAGTGAGGGCCTTAAAAATATTTTGAAGAGTGTAAGCTTAGCCTCATTTTTCAAGAAATTCTTATTTATAAACCCAAGTAGTCGTCTGGAGTTAGAGATAATATTTGATGTATGTTCCCCGAATTTTATTCTTCTGGAGTAACGGGTTCCCAGATCATGCGCTGATGTAAGTGTCTGAATCCTAAATGTTTGTAAGAAGATTGGTATATCGTGATGTTTACTGAAATGCATGATGCCACATTTGTTGTGGTTAAACGGTAGATGCCATGTTTAGCTCCAGGTAGTTAAGTTATCAATATCACTCTGAATCGTGGCTATATTTTTGTTCAGATCTTCAGGCTTATAGCTGTATGCTATTTTCATATCATTCTTAGGTAGGTATGATTTTACAAATATTATAGTTTTACATAAATCGTACATATACATCAGAAACAAGAGTGTACCTAATTCACTTCGCTGAAAAACTTCATTGGTTACTGTTCTTGGTGATAAAAGGCAATATCTGTATTTTACCATTTGTTGGCACCCATTTAGGAATGAAACAAACCACGAATTTAGTGGGTTACTGATTCCAAATGATTCTAGTTTGAGAAGCATTTTGCATGGGACCTTGTCAAAAGCCTTCTTAAAGTAGAAAAGGATAGATACTAGAAGCCCTTTGTCTTGTTGATGCGTAATATCATTGAAATAATCTATCAGGCATGTGTCACACGATGTAGACCTCAAGAACCAATGCAGTGAGGTCGATATCAGCTTGTTACTGAGGAGATGTTGCACTAACTCTGCCTTAACAACTTTCTCCATCACCCTAGATACTACTGAAGTTATGTTGATGGGTCTGTAATTTTCAACATTCGCTGTAGGCCCAGAATTAATTGTTGGGATGATATGTGTTGTCTTCCAGTTAATAGAAAAACTCTCTGTGGTAGGTAAACATTTAAGAAGAGTAGCACTGCTTCCAGTTTTCAGCATGCTGCCTGGAATACCATTTGGTCTTTCAATGTAAGAGTGCTTCAGTGTAGAAATTGCCTTAGAAATGTTCTGTACACTAAATTCAACACTGGTGATTTCACTGGAAGGAATTTGGGTCAGGTGTGATTCATTTGTTGGGTTTTTCGTTTGTTAATGTCGCACAAAAGTGTTCGCTAAACAGCTCTGTGATACTTATAGAATCATCATACACTTGGTTGTCCTTAATAAATATGCTACCCCCTTTCACTTTGGAGCATTTAAGTTTATTCCGAATGAGTTTTATGATGTGGAGGATTCATTGTTCAGCTGAACAGCACGCTTTTCCTGTGCGATTGCCTTTTTAGTACGTGTTATTTCCGCCTCGACACATATTTCAGTCATCGTTACTAATGAGGAGAAGTCATTACAGTTATGAAGTCTGGAAGCATGTTTTCGAAGACATTTTCATATATCATTTGGCAAATACAGGTCCTTAGAAATGCTTGGTCTCCAGGATCCTAAGGCGCAATTTTATTGAATATATTATTCGTGTTGTGACGAAATACGTTTATTAGTACACACATACATACATACATCCCTACATACATACAATACATTTATCAGTATTGTTTGCGGTAAAGTAGTTTGTCCAGTCAATGCTTCTGAGGCGTTTCCGGAAGTTTTTCCGACCAATCCTATGGACGTGTAGTGGATTTACGTTTTATAGTTGTAGCTCCTATATCAAGGTTGTATATGACCATATTATGATCACTTTCTGGGAACTTTTTTCCAACATATACAGTGTGAGGAATGAGATTGCCGGTGAAAAATAAACCCAATATATTTTGATTTCTTGTTGAGGCGTTAACATGTTGAGTCCATTCTCCAAGCTCTAAGAATTCAAAAATGATTCGAATCGTCCAGGTGCTTTGACTGGGAACCAAGAGATTTCAGACATGTTGAAGTCCCCACAAATAGCCTTGCTTGTAAACGGTAGGGATGAAAAAAACATGAATACGTGGTGTGAGCTACTTATAAGTAGTATATGACGTGAGTGTCCACGTAGTGTCTGGCAGCAGAAGATGGGAGAAGATCAAGAAAGGAAGAGTTAGAACACAATGGAATTTGTATGAAATGCATGAATAGTGACAATGGATTGATGTTTTGCAACAGGAACAGTCCAGTTCGATATGTAGGTCTGATATTTTGCAAATGAACAACTTACGATATGGTTATCCGATTTTACTGAGTAACTCTGTAATTTCGTTAAATAAAATTCGGTTCCGCCACCTATGTTAACCTTCACTTCACTCCTAGTATGGTCCTTACCCAAGGACCACGTATAGCCTGTAGAATCCATTTTGAATGTTTTGTTTTTTGGAAAATCCCTCCATGATTACATATTTTTGTTATGACATGACGGACCTTTTCTGTTGACATTTTTGGTATTTTATTTGATTCCAATTTGAGATTTTATCATTGTATATTGTTATTCTTTCTATATTTTGTACTTATATTGAAGTTTTTGTGTTTGCTTCTGATTGTATATATGTTGTTTAAATTTGACCTTTAATATGGCTACAGCCATATTTGGATTGATGCAGTGGCCGCTGGACTTAGCGTCACTTATCTATCGCTGTTTCTGATACTCTTCGGAGTAATTGTATCCTGGAAGGAGCATTAATTCCAGGTAATGCTTTGTATTTCCATGTCTATATTAAATAAGACCGCTTTCTCCTAGAATTTTTGTCCTTTTTTGATTTGTTTGGACCTGGGACTGGGAGAATCGAGTACAGGAGTGCACCTATTGGAACCCATTGGAACGGCCACTGTAGAAATTCATTTACAAGTCTTCGAGATAAAGTATCTAAGGTTTAACTTGAGAAGTATAAATCCAAAACTCGAGATACTTTCTTCTTTACTAACTATGCACTGGTACGGAATAGGCTTCCTCATAACTGTTTACTGTATTATATTGACGCCTAACCAAATGTTTATGTGTTGTAACTGCCAGACAAACTAGTGAAAGAAACTTGCAGAAGTAGTGTTTCTCAACAGGATGTGAAACATAGAGCCTGAAGTACGTAAAATATTATCTTAGCATCATTTTACATGAGTCTAATGACACATAAGGAGGATGGGTGGATTTCTGACCAGAAAGCATTGGTTGTGTGGGCTTGTTAGTTTCCTCTTCATACAGTAGTTCGTCATCGGCTTGTAACCTATTTCTAAAGGCTTTCTTGAAATTGTTAAATTTGTTAGTAGACCGAAGAAAAGTTTTACTGAACCTCTGTGATGCTGTGCCCCCAGGTTTTCAGTGCTTCCTTAGCTTAAGTTTCATCTTAGCTACCACCAGGTAGTGGGGTTATATCAGCTTCCCTCTTTGCTATCACAGCTTCCAAGGTCATTTTGAACTTTTTCTTCATGTAAAGGTAATTGATTTTGTTCTCGGAAGTGTGTTCTGGTGAAACCCATGTAGTCTTGTGTATGCCTTTGTATGGGAAGATGGTATCCCCGTCTAATATCTTACTGAAGGCACAGGACTTAGGGAATCTCTCAAACATTTTTGTCATTCGTACTTTGTAAAGCACTTTCCACCTGCGTGGTCACCACCTCGCTTTTGCCTGCCCAGTACCTTCGCCCAATTCTCTGACACGTTTGGGTATTCTCTAGATACCAAGAAATTGCCAGAAAAATACTTACGTCATCTGGACCATCCCATCTTGGTTTTCCTTAATACCAGGGATACAAGGGATAACTCTTGAGACCCAACCGTATATGTTTAGTAGACATGTTGATTGTCGTCGACTCGAACAACTAAAGACTTTCAGACTTCGAGAGCTGAGTTTAAGAGGTTCAAATGAAATTTTATGATTCGCTTCTTTTGCGAAGTTGAATCCTATAGCGTGCGACTGCTCACCAACCTTCCTCCATTATGAGTAACTTGAACCGACGATAAACACAAAAAGCTTCTAGGTAAAGTTAACACAGAGCCAACTCAACAAAACTTGTCATTCAAGTTTCCTAAACATCTTAAGAAGCGTGATACCTTCAGTCTACTACTTACTAACCTAACGTGTAACGACAACCTCAGACGTGCTGTAACGCAAAAGTTCAAATAACCTAGCAGATAATATAACTTAATGGGCTGTACGCAACTAATTTTAGTTAAGATTTGATGAATTGCCTTATTTAATACTTGAATAAACAGGAAAATGGATTGTGACTCATCATTATTACATCACGACGTGAGATTCCACTACTCAAGGTCGTGTTGACCGCACTGGTCTAAAGTTGGTTTTCCCGCTCTGTTTGAAAGTAAACATGTTCTAAAGTTGGTTCCTCAATTACTGAGACTACTCAGGATTGTACTGCTTGATACAAACTTCGTTCTAGTCGTACAGGTCTTATTTGTTCATACAGAACAACACTTTGGATATCTTTCTACCGAAAAAACAGAAGTTTATTTACAGCTGGAACATGTCACTGATACTAGTTAGTTTTAAAATCATTTATCCTGACAAATATAGGAACTCCGTTTCAGATCAATTTACTCATGCTTTATATCATGTTGGATTAGCACCTTGTTTCTGGTGCTTATGGTGTTTCTTGAACACTTAAGATTTTGTCCTCCTTGGTTTTGGATAACAGGTACTGTGATAATCCAATTACTTAATGCAACAGATACATTGGTTACGCTTTTTTTTACGTCAAAATTCTTCCTGTTGTTGTGCAATGTTTTAGTTGTTATTCTGGCAACACTCACTTTTCGTGTTAGACTGTCAGGTAAATTTTCAAATTTCCATAATGTTTAGCTACTGATCGTGTTATCCTTAAAACGTACCAGATTTTTCTAGCCTTCTTCACGCGAGGTGATTTTAACTTCTTATTCTCCGGCATGCTACTGGGTGCAGTGAATAGTTTAGTTGTAGTGAATCTTCTATCGTCCAGCGAATATGGATCATTTTTTGAATACGATCATTTGTAATATCCTTAATTTAATATTTCTTGTTTAGTCCTTCTGTTAATCAAAAATCGCTTGTGTTAATAACTTGTGGAGCATTCACGGGTGTAGTGTTTTGTCTGTCAGTGCTTGTCCTGAACAAACTGACGCTTAACTACTCATATCGAACCGTAATTTCTCACACAATACCTGTCACATTTCAGGGCAACATATTCGTGATAGCAAAAGAGCATATGTTCACCCGTCTCCTAGCAACTGTTGGAAGAGTATTGTACTTCTTGCCTCTGTATGCAATATGCTCAAATTCATTTTGGTATTCTCAAGGGTAGGTCCGGTTACTGAAGTAATTTACGTAAGACTATCTTTTATATGGTTTGTTATGGATTTTCGGCTAATTCGCTTGATGCTGATCACAACATTCCACCTCCAGTTTTCATGGAGTTGTGCAATCGACGTCCTGAAGTCGCAGTTTCAAAGAGTAATTTCTCTGATTTTTTTAACTCGGAGACTGTAGCCTATTGAAATCCCGTTGTCCTCTGTCCTTGACCCTTCCAATTCCGTTCAAGCAACCTTAAGTAACTGTGCTAATCCTCTAGGACAAGTAAGTTCACATCTTAATGATTATTCTTCAGCATTTGGCTTTGGAGAGATTGGCTGACTTGGTGGCTACCAATCAAGATGTGAGGTCTTCCGTATTTTCGCTCAGTCATTTGGGTATGTTTATTATTGACTTGATTCACTGCCCGTAAACTATTGTTTTTTGATGTCGCTAAAAGACAAATGAGTCAATAAGTACCATTACGTTGCCAGTGTTCATGGTTATATAGAGGTGAACAACATATTTCCTTAAGTCATCATTCACATAACCTGAATTTTAAGTACAATTCAATCGAAATGATTAGATGGATACAAATAAAGAGTCGGAGTTTATGATCTTTAAGCCGATAGCCAGAAAATTTGGAGATTCATAACAAAACAGTAATATTATAGACCAAATGTTTATCAAATTTTATGACGGCTAGAGGCATCATACTAACATGGGAAGATTTGACTTGTCCGATTGCTAGAAAGAGCACCAAACAAATACATCTCATTATTAAATGCTATTTACTCAATTTATCTTTAGATCATGTTTTATGATAAGCTACCACTTTTTTCACTCAGTTTCTCCATGGTTAAAATTGTATTGAACTCATTATTATACATGTCTTCGGAGATATCAATATTGACTATTCAGAAATTCATATCTTGTACAGATTCGGTTAGCCGAGGTGTATAGTCGATAATTCAATATTTCAAACACCTAGATAAGATTCATTAAATACTCTGTCTTCGTGTTGATTATGTTTTCAAAACTAATGATTCTGAAACTGATAAATAGTTCTTCGACCGGGTTCTATTCAAACGTAAGGATTTGTAGTCATATGACGTATATGATGTACCTGGGTGATATGTAAGTAAGAAATGCTGTTAAGATACACTCCAACCTTTGTCACTTGAGGTTCTTAAAACAAAATTTGCTCGTGCTGTAGCTCTCTTCCCTGATAGCACGATACACTAGTTCATAGTAGACAATATGACTAGCCCATTTATCCCAAGGATTATCAGTTTGTCTCGACACAAACACGCAAACTGGGTTGTGTAGTTGCAACCGACTAATGTATACTATTTTAATACAAAAAGTATTAAAGCACTTTTTGAATTTGTAAACCTGGTATTTTTTTATTTATTTTCCTTTGAAAGGTGGTAGGCCTGCATTGTGGAAACAAATAAGTAGTTTATGTTTTCAGTTAATTGAGCAGTTTGTAACAAGTGTTCATAAAACAAATACCCATGGGGTTAACCTAAGTACACGTAAGTCAGATTGTAAATGTAGTTAATATCGTAAAATTTTTATACTCATGTTCAGTCTGATATCATTCAAATGGATTCAGGTTCATAAACCATTTAGATTCTTGGCACCTTACTATTTGGAGTATAAATACTAACAAGACATTCCTGTACCTTCATGAGGTCAAATTGTACTTGGAATTTACTGACGACTGTTACCCTCTAACGTAGTATTGGCCACCGACCAGTATTGTCCAACCTACTCTGTCCTGGGCCTTCCTTTCTAGTCCTGTCCAATTGTCGTTCATTCTTCTCATATCTGTCTCCATTTCTCGGCGTAATGTGTTTTTTAGTCTTCCTCTTTTCCTTTGACCCTGAGGGCTCCAATTAAGGGCTTGTACTGTGACGCAGTTGGGTGCTTTCCTCAATGTATGTCCTATCCACTTCCAGCGCTTCTTCCTGATCTCTTTCTTCTCTGGAATCTGGTTTGTTCTGTTCCACAGTAGGCTGTTACTGATGGTGTATTTTGCCTAGACAACTGTTAAAAAACACTTGTGTCTTCCGGATGATGTCTTTGGTAGTTCTACAAGTTGCTGCCCCATACAGTAGAACTGTCTTGACATTTGCATTGAAAATTGTGACTTTGGTGTTGTTTGATAGTTGTTTGAAATTCCAGATGTTCTTCAATTGTCGAAATGCTGTTCTTGTTTTGCTGACCCGCACCACATCTGCTTCAGATCCCCCTTACTCATCAGTGATGCTGCGCAGATATGTAAAGGTTTTTGTATCCTCCAAGGTATCTCCATCAAGTATGATTTGGTTGATGCATGTTGTGTTGTATCGGAGAATCTTGCTTTTCCCTTTGTGTATGTCAAGACATGTTGCTGCTGCTACACTGGTCGTCCTCTCTTGCATTTGTTTCCGTGTGTGAGAAAGAAGAGCCAGGTCATCTGCGAAGTCCAGATCATCCAGCTGCATCGTAGCTATCCACTGGATACAGTACTTCTCTCCAGATGTTGACGTCTTCATAATCCAGTCGATCACCAGGAGAAAGAAAAAGGGCGAGAGTAAGCAACCTTGCCTGACACCGGTCTTCACCTCGAACGAGTTTGTCAGCTGTCCTCCATGCACGATTTCGCAGTTGAATCCTCCATAAGAGTTCCGTATGATGTTGACTATGTTCTCAGGCACGTCGTAGTGTCGAAGAAGCCTCCCCAATGTTGTCCTGTTCATGCTATCAAATGCTTTCTCGTAGTCAATGTATTTGATGTAGAGTGGTGAGTTCCATTCGATTGATTGTTCCGCAATGATTTTTAGTGTAGTGATTTGGTCGGTACCGGGGAAGTAATGGTTTAATGTTGAAAATTTTAAAATACCTATCGTATTTAAATTCTACAGCGTGGCATCATACTCGTCCATTATCTACCATTCAAACTCTTTCTTGGATTTTAAACCGGACACCTTTATACAAACTCTAAAAATCGTAATATCAATCGATAGCACACAGTAATCACCAAATTTCCACCATACATTTGGATGCTTCTATTCTTTGAATTCGAAAGTTGTAAATGAATGTCATGAACATCTAGTATGTGATAATTACTGAGTCTCAATCAGTCACTTGCAACGTAGAACTTCGCACGTACGTACATAAGTTCATGTTGCCATACCATATTAATACAGAGACGCAATTGTCAGTTCAAATCCCATAGTGATATATTGCAAGAATTATCGGTAATGAAAAAGATTAGGCTTCGAAGATTTTATTTGAGATGTAAAATTCAGTGAGACAGCTTTAGAAAGAGAAAGAAATGATGAATTCAGAAGGTTAGAATTTGAAGAAGCACAAGGAGTGGATGCACTTGCGCCATAGCAAGCGATTTTGAGACATGTCTTTGAAGGTTTCTAACCATCGGTTGCTATCGTCTCGTGGACCCCAACCAGGTAGTCTACATCTACCAACATGACTCAATCCAGTTGTCAGTGACTTCATGGATTTCTGCCATGTTTTGGTTTGGTAGCCCCTGGCTTTCTTCCAACCTACTCCTACCCGACCGAAGCTGCTACCTTGACGTAGTGGTCGGGCTTGCCTATCGTGATGACCCAACCGAGCTATATTGGCTGGAACACATGTACGTGCAGGTCCTACCATGCCAGGCAGGTCGATTGGAGAACGATGAGACTAAAAGCAGCTACCCAAGGTCTGAGGGCGAAGTCGTACTGCTGACTGCAGAGGGGTGTGACAGCAGTAAGGTGTTTCCCTCGGACAACCAGCATCTGCAGCGATGCTGCCTTCTCACAAGGAAGGAAGTGTTAGAAATGGTCGACCCTAAAAATGTCATACCTCACCCTACCTCACGGATTTCCGTTTCCGGCGGTAAGGGTGCCCACTAAGGGCTTTCAAGAGCGGAGCTAACACTCAAAAAACGTTTCATAAAAAGGCGGTGCGTGACCGGCGTCAATCAGTTGTCCCTTGGGCTCTGCGATCACGCACCCAGGTCTCTAAGACCAACGCTAATCTACCTTCCTTTTCAGGTTCTTCAGGAAACAACCTTCCACGGTGTGGGCAGCGGGGAAGTGACGGCCGCCCTCATACCCGTAACATCACACGAGACCAAGTTGGTCAAAATCAAATCCTTCCTACACCCACACATACCTCTCGCCTCTCCACAGCTAACTGTACTCACATTCCCTTATCTGACTGCACCGCTAATGCAAAGGATGCGAGTTCACGAAACGTCATTCCTGGTCTCTGGAAACCTCGTTCTAGTCTACATGTTGGAAGATTTAATGTACGGACATTGTATCAAATAGGGCAACAGGCATCCTTAGCTAGGACTTAAGAATCTCGTGCCATAGATGTATGCTGCGTCTCGGAAACGCGTATACAGTATCCGAGTAGCATCATTCACTTGACCTCACCATGTCAAGATAAAGCAGCTCGATTTACCCTTCGTGTTTCCGGTAGCCCTGATGCTGCTTCCCGGGGTCTCGCTGGTGTAGGTATAGCATTTAGTCGTAGAGCTGAACAATCTCTCCTAGACTGGATCCCAGTAGATAGTCGTTTGTGCGCTGTCCGACTAAACGGGACAGTAAGGACTCGGAAAGATAGGGACACTCGTCGTATCTACCTATGCCCCCACTGACTGCAGTTTAGACGAGGTTAAAGATGAGTTTTACAGAAAGCTCTCAGACCTCCTCCAAAAAGCTAAGCGCTCTGATATAGTATTAATGGCTGGTGACTTTAATGCTCAAGTAGGTAGATTAAGTGAAAATGAAAGACACCTGTGTGGATGTTATGGTGTCGCGGCTCAGAGAACAGACAGTGGTGACTGTCTGTTGCAAGTATGCTCAGACAACCGCCTATTCTTAGCGAACACTAACTTTAGGCATAAGGAAAAGCATCTATTGACCTGGTGACCTCCAAAGTCGTCTCAACGTTGGACGCAACTAGATCACATCGCCATCAGCCACCGATGGAGGGTTTCGAAAGAAGACTGTCGCTCGTTCTGGGGCACATGTTTGGATTCAGATCATGCCCTAGTGCGAGCACGTATTTGTTTGAGGCTTACTGGACGTAGGAAAGACACCGTAAGGAAGCCTCTTAGGGTTTTACTTAATGATAATAGGGCGAAGAATATATTTCAGGAACAACTAGAAAGACAGTTAGGCGACCATTTAAGCGATTCCCATCCGGAGTCAGGTTGGAATGATATCAAGAAGGCTGTGGAAAGAGCAGTGATATCTGCTAGTAAGGTAAACCATAAGGTTAGGATGAAGCCGTGGATATCAGTCGCATCCACCGAACTGATGGATGCTCGAAAACGCATCCCACCTGACTCTGAGCATGATGAAGAGCGTAGTCAGCTCAGGCACAGACTTATAAAAAGTCTGCGTGAGACTATCTCAGAAAAGGATGGTCTTATTATCCATTCTCAATCCAGGAGACTGGATCGATGGGCAGAACACTTTAGGGATCAGTTCAACTGGCCACGAGCCACTCTTCGAAAACCCACGATCTCCAGTCATCCTGAATGGCAAATCGACGTAAGTCCCCCTAGTCTTAATGACGTTAGCAAATCTGAAACGAGGACAAGCTGCAGGTCCTGATAGACTTACCCCTGAGATATTTAATGATGGTGGTCCAGTTTTAGCAGCTAGGTTGACTGTGATCTTAGGTAGAATCTGGGAACTGGACGCAATCCCATCCGACTGGTCTCAATCACTGATTGTCCCAATCTATAAGAAAGGACAAAAGTCTTCTTGTGACAATCACAGGGGAATAAGTCTAACTAATATAGTATCTAAAATATTAGCCTCAATAATACTTCGACGCTTAACGAAAGCTCGTGAAGAGCGAATTCGAGAAAACCAGGCTGGTTTTCGACCTGTACGTGGTTGTATAGACCACATCTTCACACTACGACAGGTCCTGGAACATAGACACACATTTAGGCGTCCTACAATAGTTGTTTTCCTAGACCTTAAGGCGGCATTTGACTCAGTGGATCGTGAAGTTCTGTGGCAGTGTCTGTCATTGAAAGGTGTAGCAAAGAAGTACATTAACCTTATACAAGCCCTTTACTCGAACACCACTGGTCGAGTGAGAGCTTTTGGCGAACTGTCACCGGAATTCTCTACATCAAGTGGTGTCCGTCAGGGATGTCCACTTTCTCCATTCTTGTTTAATTTTATCATAGACATGCTCCTAGAAATAACCTTATCCTCGTCTGAATTTTCAGGAGTAGACCTTCTACCAGGTGGCTCGCTTATTGACTTAGAATATGCCGATGACATAGTCCTACTTGGTGGAGATGCTGACAAAATGCAGTCTTCTGACTACCCTAAGCAACAACACAAGCATGTTCGGGATGCGGTTTTCCCCATCGAAATGCAAAATGTTGCTTCAAGATTGGGTTGCATCGGCACCTGAACTAGTGATAGGGAGTGAAGTAGTCGAGCGTGTAGACCGCTTCACTTATCTGGGAAGTCTCATCAGCGCTGATAGCCTGGTGACTGACGAAATCTCAGCGCGGATACAGAAGACTCGATTGGCTTTTGCCAACCTGCGTCACTTATGGCGTAGGCGAGATATCCGTTTGCTGACTAAAGGACGAGTGTACTGCGCAGCAGTTCGCTCCGTTCTCTTATATGGCTGAGAACATGGCCAGTCAGAGTAGAAAATATTCGTAGGTTTCTAGTATTCGATCATAGATGTTTAAGAAGCATTGCTCGTATATCGTTGGACAACCGAGTAAGCAATGCTGTCGTTAGGAAACGAGTACTAGGTAAGGATGGCAGATCAATAGATGAAGTATTGAAACTTCATCAGTTGAGGTGGTTGGGACATGTGTTACGTATGGCTAACCACCGACTGCCTCGACGAGCTATGTTTTGTAGTGTAGGAGTAGGTTGGAAGAAAGCTAGGGGTGGCCAGACCAAAACATGGCAGAAATCCATGAAGTCACTGACAAGTGGACTGAGTCATGTTGGTAGATGTAGACTACCTGGTTGGGGTCCGCGAGACGAAAGCCACCAATGGTTAGAGACCTTGAATGACATGGCTGAAAATCGTTTGCAATCGCGCAAGCGCATCCATTCTTTGAGCTCTCTTAAATCCAGAATATTGCTCGACGAGGCAGTCGGTGGATAGGCATATGCAACACATGTTCCAACCACCTCAACTGATGAAGTTTCAATACTTCATCTATTAATTTGCTACCCCTACTTAGCACTCGTTTCTTAACAACAGCATAGCTAACTTGGTTGTCCCAGGATATGTTAGCAATACTTCGAAGACATCTATAATCGAATAGTAGTAACCTAAGAATATCCTTTACTCTCACTGGTTACGTTTCAAATCCATAAAGTAGGACGAAGCCAACTGCTACCCAGTACACTCGTCCTTTGATAATTACTGAGTCTTATTATGACCGAACGTCAGTACTCATACATAGATTATCTATTCACAAACTCATTTTTACATCACTTGAGCAGAACTAAAGTCTGTTTGCATTTAAGTTTGTGGTTAATGTCGCGTAAATGTAGCATACATAAAAGTGCGTTCGACCAGTTGTCAGACATTGTAGTGTAAGCATCATGGCCTATGGTCATATTGTAACCGATCTACACAAAAGCTAAGAGTATCAAACTACCTCATTAGCATTAGCGGTGTGAAATGTTAAATATGTGCAAGAGGGGTTAATTATGCAGGTGGAATAATTAATAAGAGGTGATGGAGGAACTCGGTCGTGAGCAAGATGATCTCGGGTGCTGTTGAAGGCGTGGGTGAGGTTATCGTTTTTCGGCTGTCCATTTCTTGGGAGGATGTTCCTTTTACAGTTCAAGTTGCCATACCAGTTTAGCATAGAGATGCGATTGTCAGTTCAAATCCCGTAGTGGTAGGTAAAGTATTAGCATAAGCAGTAATCTGAGAGATTAGGGTTTAAAGATACTATTCAAGGAGTATAATCCGGTTAAATAAATTTCCAAAGCGAAAGACGATGGTCATGAGGAATCCAGATTAGAATTTGAGAGAAAACAAAGAATGGATACACCTGCGCCATAGCAAACAATTTTGAGCCATGTCATACAGGGTCTCTAATCACTGGTTACTATTGTCCCGCGGAGCCCAGTTGTCAGTGACTTCATGGATTTCCGCTATGTTTTGGTTTGACTGCCCTTAGCTTCCTTTCAGCCTACCCATACATCACAAAATGTAACTCTTCGAGTCAGTCGGCAGTTGGGCATATGTAATACATCTTCCAACTACCTGATCTGATGAAGATTCATTAGTTCGTCTATTAATGTCCCTTCTGTAACTAGTACCCGTTTCGTAATAACGGCATCGCTAACTCGACTGTCCCAATATATGCGAGCAATGCTTCTAAGACCTCGATCAAATACCAATAACCTACGAATGTATTCTACTCTTACTGGCTATGTTCCACAGTCATAAAGTAGGAAGGAGCGAACTGATGCTCAGTAGACTCTTCCCTTTGGTTAGCAAACGGATATCATCTACGCCATAAGTGACGTAGGTTGGCAAAGGCCAGTCGAGCTTTCTTTATCCGTGCTGAGATTTCTTCAGACACCAGGAAATCAGAACTGATGAGATTCTCAAGTTAATTGGTAGACACGCTCAACTGCTTCACTCCCTGTCACTAGTTCAGGTACCAATGCAAGCCAATCCTGAAGCAACATTTTACGTTGCGACGGGGACACTGCATTTTGTCAGCATCTTCACCAAGTAGAACTATCTCATCGTCATTTTCGATGTCGGCAAGTGAATCTCCGAGTAGAGAGCTTGTATAAGGTTAGTTTACTTCTCTGCTACTCCTTTTAGTGACAAATACTGCCATAGAACCTTACCATCAACAGAGTTAAACGCCACCTTAAGGTCGAGAAATACTACATTTGTGGGACGTATGTCTATGTTCTAGGACCTTTCGAACTGTGAATATCTGGTCTATACAGCCACATCGAGGACTGAACCCACTCTGATTTTCTTGAGTCTGCTCTTCACGGGCTTTTCTTAGGCGCTTAATTATTATTGAAGCTCATATTTGAGATACTATATTAGTCAAAGTGATTTCTCTGTGATTGTCATAAGAGGACTTTTAGCCCTTATCATAAACTGGGACTATCAGTGATTGAGAGCAATCGAAGGGCTTATATCGATTTACTATTCAGGATGACGCGATCGTGGACTACTGAAGTGTGATTGAAGGCCAGTTGAACTGATCTCTGACGTGTTCTACCAATCGATCCAATCTACTAAATCGGGAATTAATAATAAGCCCATCCTTGTCCGAGATAACCTCACTTACTGTCGGATTCCTAATACCAGTTTCCTTTATAAGGCGGAATGGTTGTCTACTGTTACATATCATCGCTGCCTTTTCTATCGCCTTTGCTTTCGCTACCGACTACAGTTCACGATCATTGCATAATCTTTTTTTTGCCACCCTGCGCTCTTCGTCATGTTCAGAACCAGACGGGATTAGTTTCCGAGCATCTCTCAGTTCAGTAGATGCTAACGAGATCCACGGCTTCTCCCTAACCTTATGGTTTACCTTGAAAGCAGATATCACTGCTATTTTCGCGGCTTTTTGGATATCGATCTAAGCTACCTCAGGGTGGTCATCACTTACATGATTGTCTGATTGTTTTCCTAGTTGTTACTGGAATATATTCTTAGTTATGCCATTAAGTAGAACCCTAAGAGGTTTACTTGTGGTGTTATTCGTACGTCCATTAAGCTGCAAACAAATACTTGCTTGCACCAGAGAATGGTCTGAATCTAAACATGTGCTCCAGAATGATTGGCAGTCTTCACGTGAGTCCGCATCAATGGCTGCTAGTAGTGTCCTCTAGTCGGGTCGGCTTTGGGGGTTGCCGGTCAGATGTTTTTCTTTACGCCTAAAGTCAGTGTTTGCTAGAAATAGGCGATTGTTTGAGCATAGTTGCAGCAGACGGTGGTCCTTATCTGATCTTTGAGCCAAGACACAATAAAATTTACCCGGGTGTCGTTCAGTTTCACTTATTCTACATACTTGAGCATTGAAGTCACCAGCCATTATTACTATATCAGAACGCTTAACCTTTTTGAAGGTTAGTGAAGTTTCTGTAAGACTGATCTCTTATCTCGTCTGAACTGCAGTGAGTGGAAGCGTAGGCAGATACGACGAAGAGGTAACGGCGAGTTTTCCTATCTTTCAGAGTCCTTACTCTCCCGTTTAGTCGGACAGCGCACAAGCGACTATCTACTGGGATCCACTCAAGGAGAGATAGTTCTGCCCTAGGACTCAACGCTACGAGAAGCAGTAAGGCTTCCACATACACGAAGGGTTCTTTATCTAGACAACTGGCTAATTAAGTTTGCCCTACTTGACACAATATCCCGACATTAAAAGCTCCAATGTCTAGCTAGAAACGGAGTTTTAGTAGACTAGGAATAACGTTTCGTGAATGTGAATCGTTTGCTCTAGCGGTGCGGGGTGATCAAGGGATGTTCGAAGGGTTAGTTGTGGAGATACAAGAGATGCTAGGGGGTTTACGAATAGTTTGATTGTGACCAATTTGGTATCATATGTTGTTACGGGTTTGAGGGCGGATGTCCTTTCCCGAGTGCCTACATCTGCTTGAGGCCGCTCGCGCACGCCACTTTATCAGGTTTCAAAGTGTTAGCTCCGCTTTTTGAGTGGCCTTACCACTGGTGATGAAAATCCGTGAGGTAAGGTGAAGTGTGATATCTTTAGGGTTGACTTTTTCCAACCCCCTCCTTGTGAGAATGCAGAGTCGCTGCAGATGCTGGTTGTCCGTGGGAAACGCCTTACTGCTGTCACACCTCTCTGCAGTCAGCAGTACAACTTCGCCCTCAGACCTCGAGTAGCTGCTTTTAGTTTCACTGTTCTATAGTTAATCTGCCTGACATGATAGAACCTATAGGAACATATGTTTGAGCTAATATAGCTGGGTTGGGTCATCACGATAGGCACACCCGACCACGTGCAGCTTCAGTTTGCAGATTCAACGACACGTTTTCTGAGCTTTATCGTACTTTCAATCGTTCGATGGCTATACACGTTATTTTACTCACTTTTCATTATATTTAAGTCCATTAAGATTATTAAAAATGAGAATAATAATAATAGTTTGTGTAGTAACACTACAGCCTCACTAACTCCTCATTTTTCGATAGGTATTTCTAGTGTACATCAGGATCATTTGTGCTTGTCGATAGTTATAATCCAGAGTTTGTAACATTTTTACGCCTCCATCCCATAATCTAAACTTTCTGGCTTAATTTCAGCTCTTTGGCCTAAAAATGTTGATTTCAAGTATAAACAGTATTTGCCGTCTTCATTTGAATTAAATCCGCGTCAACGCGATGTTGGCAAAGTAAAACTGTTATCTACTGATGTAACTGTGTCGAATATACGGCCATCTGGGTCGATAATTGCTCAAAATCTGATAAATGCTGGTCGCTTCCTGCTTACTAAGGTATGTTAGTTGGAAAAGAAACGAATAATATCTCAATTTAACAAAAATAATTGATACACTAGGTTGTTTTTAACAGTTAGACAAAACCAGGCTTCTTTTCCGAAAGTAAAAGAGTAAAGTGTTTGTTAGAAATGTTAGCAACCGGAGTACACTATAAATAACACAATAAAAACATATTTTCCAATTTGCTACTTTGTTAAATTTTTAAATATTGATGCCAAAGTTCGGTATAGGCGATTAAAAAAATATCTTCAAATAAATCAAGCAGTTTTAATTCTAAATCATTTGTGATTCTAAGTCAAAAATATCTTCGTGATCAAACATTTTCCTAGTTCTTAAAATATTCTGTGATCCAATATGAAATCAGCTTGGTGAATCATATGTATTTTTTAATCAACTAAATTTTGTTTAGCGACAGTAGAAAAAGGCCTAACTAATTTCTAGACGTTTTCGACATTGAGACATCGTTCAAAGTCCACTTATCTTATAAAGATATTGTTTACTGGCTTGTTTGTCAGGTTATATCGTCTTATTTTGAAGAATTTATTGGATCATGATTCAGCTAATATTTTCATCGAATTTACTAATCAATGCTTATTTTTCCGCCTTTATTTAGGTATACACTCGATTGTATCGAACACAACTTTTTAGTTTTCTGTCTTCAGAAATACCATATGCTTCAACAGCACATCTCTTTTCAACTGCTACAGATATCGATTATGCAGACGACTTCGACAAACCATTAGTACGAACAAGTGGTCAAGTTATTATCTGGGCAACAGAAATCTTAGCTTGTTTGACATTAGCTGCTTACAACGAAGACAATTTTGGATCGGTTCAGCAGTCTCTTGGACGAATCTTACTGCTTTTTGCAGATGGATTAGAGGTAAGTTCATAGCTTTTGTTGATTTCGGTTACTTGCTAAATGCGATCAGTTAAATAAATGACCCGATCATCATTCTTAAAAGAATAACTTTGACAAAAATATTCGTCAAAATTTAAATGAACAAGTTGATTGAAATTGGATGTAAAGTACATATTGAAAACATAATATGTAAAAATTGTATTTGGATTAATCTCAAGAATTGAGGTTTAAATGTAACGTTTTACCCGTCAAACTGATTGCAGCTCATTTAAAGAAATATTTCAATTCATTCATTGATATCATGCATCGATCAATATAGGCCACTATTTCAAACCTTGAGACACTGGATGGCCGTTTCATCCTAGTATGGGACTCATTAGCAGTGCGCATCCATAACCCACGCAGGAATCGAATACAGGACCGTCGGTCTCGTTTGCGAACGCCCAAGCTCCAGACTGATGAGCCGACATCCAACGATGTCAGTGTTTAACTTCAATCAGTCCATGATCTTGCACAACCTCCATCCATTGTATTCGGTGGGTAACTGCTTCGAACTGAACACAGTTAAAATTCATCGGTCACGGCTTCTTACTAGAACTCCAAGAATTCCCTCACGAAGCTAGTCACTAGTGAGCACATGATAATTGTCAGCATAAGGTTGTGAAACTTGTTGATTTTCACTGATTTCATCAATTTATTGTCTCTTACGTTGCTCAGACCGATCTCCTAGGAAGAACGCTGAAATCATATAGATTTCAATCTCTAAAATAACTTTTGTCTGATATGAAAAAATGATGATTCACCCCTCGCCAAACGGATGATTTTCTATCATCAAAATTATTAACCATTTACCAAAAGGTACAGGCGTTTAGTGTTTTAGGAATAGTACTCATCTCACAGCTATTATCCACGAAAGGCCTTTGCCATATGAAATCTCATTATTCAAAGATGTTGACGCTAATATTATCGATAAATAGCAGTAGTCCAACTGAATACCTTATTACTGGTCTCCGTACTGTCATATCGATCAAATGTATCATCTGGTGGAAGGAAGGCATTACCACCTTGTTAATTAAAAGTTGCTTCATGAAAAATTTGAGCTGACTGTTCGCTGATGTCCCACGATATTGTACTTCTGAAAAGTAATTGCAAGAGGGGGGTTTAATGCTTTTTTAAAACACATGTGAATAACTTGAACACAATAATTACTTAATAATTATACTAGCTATTTCCTCATACTGTATTCCTTCTCTTTTTGAAGGCAGTTGAGAAGCACTTGAGATTAGTTGGTATGCTCTCCACTCACTACAAACAAACGATGAACTGTTCAGTCTCTGATAGCTTCTATACGAGTACAATATCATCTGCCGGATATCTTCAAACCCCATTAAGAAGCTCGAAACAACCCTCAAGCAATGCATTTCCCTCAAAAGATCTATGTAACTTAACATATTACCGTTTCGCATCCGATCCCAGTCTTCCATGGCGTGTTTATGCAACGTTTTGTTGGGCTCTAACAAATTGCTTAAGTCAATATGACGATTGTCTTGCGTAAGTGCTGCTTTTTGGCTATGTATTTACTCTTACATATGCTGAAAATTATATATATATATATATATATATATCGCAAATTGATAATATTTTCCGCTAAAACCTACATTAAAAGTGGCATCAAGAATTGTTCACTCCAATCAGAATGATTAATTCCAAGGGTACTCGATCACAGATGCTACCTCATCGTGCTGATCGGCCTATCTTTAACGATGACTCAACAATGTTTACTTCATCTTGCTAAACGACTCCCACAATGAATTTTTAGGAATCGACCCCCTACTAAGAAGTCATTTGGTTGACTCATAGTAACTGAACATTTTATCCCTTCTTGCAAAGCAGACCTGCAAGGTTCACGTTATTGATTAAGAATTTCATAAATTGAATTATCAAATCTGCAGCTGTAGGCAGTTATTAAATTCAGATTTTTATCTATCATAATATTAAAAAAAGCTACGATCTTACCACCTAATACATATGAAATATAGCCTTCAAATTAGCTTGCCTCAGCATATATACATATAGAATACCTCACTCGGATGATGTTCATCGTGTGGCTAATGAATTTATCTGTTACCATCCAGATCGTATCTGCCGCGACGACGTGGCGGTTGGCCTTGTGATGGATCAACACAGCTATATAAGCTGAAACACATGTTCGTTTAGGTTCTATAATGCCGGAAAGGTTGATTGGAGGACAGCAAGACTAAAAACAGCAGCTTCGATTCCGAGAAAAAAGTCACTGCTGACTGTAGGAGTGTGTGACAGCATTAAGATGTTTCCTTCTGCAGCGATTTTGACTTCCCACAACAGAAGGGGTTAAGATAAGTGAACTCTAAAAATTTCACACCTAACCTTACCCCACGGATTTCCGTCTCCAGTAGTAAAGCCTCGTAAAGTACGAAGTTAAAATATCAAAGACTCCATAAAAAGGCCGTTCGTGAACTGCCGAAAGCAATCGCTCCTTTCGCTCTGTGGTCACTAAGATCAACATTAATCCAGTTTCCTTTTTAGGTCTCACAATGAGGAATATCCTTCCACGTTGTGGGAAGCCGAGAAATGACAACCTCCCCCATGCCTTCAACAGCACCCGAGATCATCTTGTTCACGACTGATTCCCCCCATCGCCTCTTATTAATTATTCCATCTCCACAATCAATCCCTGTTGCACATATTTACCATTTCACGCCGCTAGTGCTAATGATTCAAAGTTACGAAATGTTATTCCTAGTCTCTTAAAACCACGCTATAAACTGCGTGTTGGAGCTGTCGATGTTTTAACCATATGTCAGAGAGGACAACAGATTTTCTTAACTAGGATTCTAGAATCTTGCACTACTTATGTCGCATCCACAAAACACACACACAGGACATAATTACAGCCATCCACTTGACCTCACCGTCTCAAAATAAAGTAATGGCACGATTTCTATATGGATACCCCACTGCTAATTCCAGTGGCCTCGCAGGTGTAGGCATAACACCAAGTTGCTTCTTCGCTTTCTTTACCTATGCTCTCACTGATTGCAGCTCAAATGAAGTAAAAGATGAATTTCACAGGAAGCTTTGCAAACTCCTTCATAAAGCTAAATGCTCAAATGTAGTAGTCATGGAAGTTCATTTCAATACCTAAGTATGTTGAATAAGTGCAGAACCGAAAAGCACTCAGGTGGATATAACTGTCACGGCTCAACGAACAGATAATACTCGTTTAATCGCCTCTTCCTAACAAGCATCAACTTTATACGTAAGAAGAAGCATTTCCTGACGACCCCCACAACCAATTCAGCGATAGACTCAAGTAGACCACATCGTCATCAGCTCTTGTTGCAAAGGCTTGATTAAGGACTCGCTCATTTTGGAGCACACCTTTAGACTCAAATGATGCCCAGTGAGAGCTTTAGTAGACGTGAAAACACAAAAGAAAGATAACCCGTCACTTCTGACCGTCTTGATCCGTAAGAAAGGAAAACAACCCTCCTGTCTAAAATACTGGCTTTAGTAATGGTTTGACGCTCAACTAAAACTCAAGAAAAATACTGGTTCCATACACTTGCTAGTTCTAGAACATACACTTTTTGATGTCCGATGATAATTATGTTCCTCAACCTTAAAGTGGTGTTTAACCCTATTGATTGTCGGGTTCTCTGGTAATATCTGTCATTCAAAGGCACGCAAACGAAGTACATTAACTCTGTACAAGTTCTCCATTACCGGCCGAGTTAGAGCTTATGGCCAACTGTCATCGAAATTGATTACTTCAAGTGGTGTTCGTCCACTCTCCATTTTTACTTGACTTTGTCACAGACATACTTTTGAAATTATCACTTTCGTTGCCTGAATTCTCCAAAGTTCATATTTAACCAGGAAATCCACTTTTTGAGTATACAGATGACATAATTCTGTTAGGTAAAGACGACGGCAAAATGCAGTTTTCTGATCACTTTAAGCAACAATGCTAGTATGTTTAGAATGCAATCCCTAATCGACGTCAATGAGTGAGGTAGTTAAGCATGTCGACTGCTTCACTTATCTTGGTAGTTTCATCAGTCTTGATGGCCCGATGTCTGACGAAATGTCAGTACGTATTCAGTAAGTTCGGAAGGCTTTCGGCTATCCTTCTGCCAACCGAAAGACGAGTTAACTGTGCGTCAGTTAGCTCCCTATTTTTGAGTGTGAAGCGGCCATGAATAGTAGAATATATTCATAAGTCACTAGTGTTCCACTATAGATATCTTCGAAGCCTCGCTTGCGTATTTTGAGATCAGTGACTGGGTTGTAAATAGGGTACTAATTAAAGATGGAAAATTAATTGATAGGTAGTCAGTCCTCACCAACTGAGGTTGTAGGGACAAACGAATACCCAACCATCGACGAGCGATGCTGTCTAGTGTAGGAGTAGACTGGAAGAAAGTTATGGGCGAACATATCAAAACTTGGAACCAGTCCGTAAAGTCATTTACAGCTGGACTGAATTATACTAATAGGTGCAAACTACCTGATTTCGGTCCGAGTGATAATCGTAACTGTTGGTTAACGACTTGGGATGAAATGGCCCAGAATCGTTAGCAATAGTGCATGTGCATTATTCCCTTGCTCTAAATTCTAAGCTTCTGAATTCCTATTGTCGTCCGCGATGTGGCTACTCGAAATTCTACCGATCGGCCAACCTCAGATATTCCAGTACGATCTCAAATTCTGTTTCCCAAATCCCCAATAGGTAAGAACACAAAACCGTCCGATGGGGTCAAAAAATAGTCTCAATCCTTACAGACAAAGCATATTTGTACGGTTAGGACGATCGTAAATATCGACCAATAGGAAACGGGATGTGAAATATGTGGGAAAGTCTGAAAACATACGATAGAATTAGACTTATGAGTAATTTTTGGGATATATCGTAACAATTCCTCATTGCTTTCTTATCTAATTAACTGATTCATATTTCCTTGAATCGTATTTTTGACGCCCAATCTTTGTTATTACCACTGTTCCTAACTCATGAATTAAGGACCAAGTAGCTTGAATCGCTGTTTCGCAACCCCAACCAATGTCTCGTGTATTTCGGTATAATAAAGCTAATTGGTGTCATGTTGTAGAGAGCACGAATAAACATCAGAGCGACAAACACACAATGAACGCTTAACAACTAGTTCCTGTTGTATCCATGAAAGTAAATGGAACTAAGTGCATGATTGGTATTATTTATTACCGCTAGTTGGATTTAATTATTGTCAATATTCATTCATATTGTTCTTTTTAGGACTTTATCACTCAACAATAAATCAAAGGAAAGATTACAGCTACTGAAAGCATCTCGTTGTACAATGAGGGAAAACTCAAATTGACGTACATCTTTACTGTCGTTATGATACAGATTTATATGCATTTACTATTAAATCTTCCATAAAGTATTGAATAAAATTATATGGTACCGAGGAACTCGTTTTTGTACTATCAGAAAGCCCAAGTAGCATTGTGGAAACAGATCACGGGACTTCATGTTCTTTTTGGTGGCCTTTGTTCAGCGTTGCCTTTCACTTTATCAGCAATCCACTTGATACTGCTGTTTACTCCCTCCCTATCAGAATATAAATAGGGACAGCGTTGATCATTTAAATGAAATAAGTTGTACTAGTTAGTCAATGAGACGAACTAGCATATCAAAACAAATGATGATTGCTCTTACTGTTCTCCACAATTCAGTGTGAATGAATCTTTCAAAAATAAACTGCGAGGTCACGCTAATAGACTGATAGGGCGTTGGTGACCTGGTGACCCCCAGAGTTGTAACATTACCAACAGCCACCGATGTAGAGGTTCGATAGAGGACTGTTACTCATTCTGGAATACATGTCTAGGTTCAGATCATGCTCTAGAGCGAGCCCGTATTTGTTTGGGACTTACCAGGTTAAAGGACGAGTGTACTGTGCAGCAGTTCGCTCCGTCCTACTTTATGGCTGTGAAATATGGCCAGTCAGAGTAGAAAATATTCGTAGGTTACTGGTTTTCAAAGCATTGTTCATATATCCTTGGACAACCGAGTGAGCAATGCTGTTATTAGGAAACGGGTGCTAGGTTAGGATGGCAGATCAATAGACGAAATAATGAAACATCATCAGTTGAGGTGGTTGAGACATGTGTTACGTATGCTTAACTACCGACTGCCTCGACGAGTGATGTTTTGTGGCGTAGGAGTAGGTTGGACGAAAGCAAGGGGACGGCCAGATCAAAACATGGCACAAATCCATTAAGTCACTGACAAGTAGACAGAGTCATGTCGGTAGGTGTCGACTACCTGGTTGGGGTCCGCGAGATGTTAGTACGAAGTTCTACGTTGCAACTGACTGATGTTAGTAATTGGTGGTTAGAGACCCTGAATGACATGGCTCAAAACCGTTTGCAATGGCGCAGATGCATGCACTCCTTGTATTCTATCAAATGCTAACCTTCTGGATTAGTTAACACCACTACCTGTCTTTTTTAAACTTATCTCACTGAATTATACTTCTTGAATATTATCTTCAAATTCTAATCTCCATTAGCAGTAATTCTCCTACTATCTCTACCACCATGGGATTTGAATTGACCATCGCGTCTCTGTGCTAATGTGGTATGGCAACCTGAACTGATGTACTTACGTACGAAGTTCTACGTTGCTCCTGACTGTCCTGACCTTCCTAGGTTTTAAGTTTTTTTATCCGGCCCGAATACTTTAATTGCTCAGTATTCTTTTGATGTTAGTTCAGTCAAATAGTCCACGTAAATTAAATTACAAATAAACCAATTCGAACAGAAGTGGATCCAATTGAGAAAGGCCTTAGTGATACTCATATGTTTACACAAGAAGATTCTAAAATCTTCAGTTACCTGCTAGCGCCGATTAGTTAAGAATAAGCTTACAAGCGCGCTTCAACATGATGCCGCGTGAAACATGTTTAAACCCGATCCCTGTCCCGCTAACACCGGTAAAAACACCAACAAGATAAGACTTATAAGATTAAACACTAGAGAATGCGGTTTGAAAAGGGATGAAGTGAAAGAATTAGTAGTTGGCGCTCAAGACCCGAGAGCCAACAGTAAGCAGTTGGATCTGCGCTAGTGACCGATTCTGAGTTATGTCACTTGCGCTTACCTCAAACGAGCAGTCTGAATTCATCAGTAAGGCTTAGTTTAACAGCCAATAACTTTGTGAACTGGCTTCATATGTTGGTTTAACCACATTCATTCTTCCAACCTATTTCTATCGCAGCCACTGTGCTTAGAGGCTGGCATACATAATAGATATGCCAGTCGCTTCAGTTAAAAATCTGCGGTCTCAACAATTAGTTTGACTAGTGGAAAAGCAAGTATACCTCGTGTCCTAAATTAACTTGTGGGTGGAAGATAGTTACTGATTTTAGAAGCACTGCAACTAACTAGTGAGCGATAAAGATGAATAACGTCTTTCGATACACGTCATCGTCTTCGCAAGGTATTCAGTATATTTAAGAGTGTAGAAAGTTATTAACTGGGGTATAAAATAGTCTACATTCCTGAGGGATATCTTCCCGTAATCGACTTTGAAGCACGAGGAAAAATTTATCGGACGATATAAAATTAATTTGAATTTAAAGTTTGGATAGGCTCAAGACGTTTCCTCCTAACGGTGTACAACATACCCAGACCTTATAAAAAATTATATATATCGACTGTTATTTACAAAAATCAACATTATAACAATCAATTTACCCATTAAGTGCGCTAACACCATGAAATGTGCACTGACGCTGCCCAACAAGATGCAGACTATCGTAGAAAACTTTGTTGATTTCAGATAAGTGGAATGCACTCTAAGAATAATGCAAATTAGACAGAAGAATGTAATACGTATGGATGCGAGTTGAATTATAAGGTGTTTTATATAAAATTGACACAATTCTCAATTTGATTACTGAGATTTTCAAATAAACTAACCCCCTATGTTTTTGAAAAACAAACATGTGGATCAGAAAGTGCCAGATTTAACCAAAATATTACACGTTGAAATCATTAAAGTATTGTTAAAGAGTAATTTCTACTTGTGTGATTCATTGAAGACTATGATTCCCTTATCATAATAGCTACTCACCGCTAAGTGATCGTAGTGAGAACAATGGGCCGTAAACGATGAGCTGCAAAGACGACTACAACACAATGACTCGTACAAGCATACAAGAGACATTCTGATTACCTTATACATGATTTCACTGAACAACTAAAAGATGAAATGATAGCAGAGAATACGTGCTATAGCACGGGAAACGGGTTGCGAATTTCACGATGAAGCAACGTTTGAAATAAGGTCTCTGCTACTGTTCATACCAAGGACAGACATTTAAGGATTTATTGAGATTGTATTGTTTTCATAGCTGAAATAACGAACTGATCTTAGACCATCAGTGGTAATCCGTGTCGGGTGCGAGACAGTTATGTGCGACAGGCAGCGGATGAAGGCTGTGTAGAATCACGGATTGGTTGGAGTTGGACATATATGCTGTTGGATGCTGGTTAAGAGGTCTAGAGATTAAGTTTCGCGCAGGAGAGTGAAAGTACTTGGTTTATTTCGGCGTGCGGAGACCATAGACGCGCACACCAGGACGAAACGGGCGTTCAGTGCCTCCAGGTTTCCAATGGCCTGACTAAAATCAGTTCATGATTCAAACTATGAAAATTTAGGGATTTCTCTAGATATATCTTAAAGTTCACATGTGGCATTCAAGAACCGTAATGGTTAATTTGAGAGGTCTTTCTTGATTATTTTAACTGTTATGGTGTTTTAGTATCTTCTTAATCGGCGCTTCTAATTGAGAATATTTTCCCCTTTTGATTAAAATGTTAAAGCGCATATGGTAATTTCTAAAACTGGTCATTTATATATTTTCTATAAATGTGTTGGAGGGAATTAGACTGGTCTATTTTATTACCAAAATGAACCGGACAAGAAAACGTCAAGGGTATTTGACAAGTCATCCGTTATCTTGTTAATTTCGCCTGTTATCGTACTGATAAGTTAGGTGGTGATTTCGCTTACTATACAATCGTGCCAGATAAAGTATTTATACTACACTGGTAATGCCTTTTAAGACAGCATGATGCAATACTGAGATAAATTAATAGGTATATTTATATTGATTTTTGTACGATGGTTCTGTTGTGCTGTTAGCCAGTGACTTCCTGTAGTAACTAATTATTTCAACCAAATTAAGTGATGAGGAAATCCATTCCTTTACACATTAGATTAACTAAAGTAAACCAGTTTCGCCTGTTGAGATATACAGATTGGTACATAAGTTGGATCAATCACAGAAGCCGAGTAATACTATATTTTACCTGCATATCTTGCTTGTTAGCAAGAACCAGTAACGGTACACCTTCCAGTACAGGATTTTTTACCATTTTATCTGAAGTTAACAATTACAAGAGGCACATACCAAATGCATCTTTAGATTCATCAAAACGATCGCTATCTGCAGAATCAACGACATAAATAACACCGTTCGATTCAGCATAGTACTAAACAAAACTATTTATGACTGTATATTAAACTAACTTTATCCCACAACGACTGAAGCTCTTCTTGACCTCCGAGATCCCAAAATTTAAGACGGATCCCATCAATCTCAATGCATCCAACTGAAAATTATAAAATTACGGGAGACCTACTATTTAGACCAACAGTAGTAGTAATTTTCTGCATTGGAATAGCTCTGTAGTTCGGAACGAAATTTATTTTAGCTTGTTCTAAAAAGGTCTAGACCTGTGAATCATATCTAACCAAAACTACTGTTTTCCCAGCACCATCCAATCCTAGTATGAGAACAGAAAACTCATTCTTTTGTGATATATAATCCCAGAAGCCACGCAGTAGTGTGTACATCACTAATGTGGAACCGGACTGATGGTCAGCGACAATTTTCTTCCCACGTTATCCCAAAAATCGTGGGGTTTAGCAGGCACAATTTACCTAAATAATTTTCACGAAAGAAAAAGGATAGAAGTGGAGACCAACGTAATATAAGTAGTGATTAAAGACTATTTCTTGCCCTGAGTGGTACTACACCTCCATTATTTTATAATGTACTGAAGAAACTAAATCAACTCACTACTTAAAACGCTAGTGTTCAATAATTTACACATGAATAATGTTGCTGAGCTGGTCGTAACATGACTAGTTAACTAAAGCCTCTAATGCAGAAACATAACTAAGTCAGAAACAGCTAAAAATGAACTGGGAAATGGTAGGTACTATTCGCTAGAAATAATGTGATAACAGTATAGAATGGTTAGATAAATAAATGCTATTGACATGATGGTCTATTCATTTAAATTTTGTACGAATTAAGCATTGTCTCAACAATTAAAAAACAACCAACTCTAAGTGAAAATATATCGCATTGTTACTGCTTTAGCCGTACTATGTTATGTGAAATTAACACTAACAAACACGAATGTTGAACCCTCACAGTTCCATGCAGGGCGTGAAAAGTTTCCTGGAAGTCTAGATATGAACTAAATTACTCAACGGGCATATACTGATTTATAAAGTTCAAAGTGTATTACAATACTAAAACGTTAAGAACTAGATGAATCAGGAGAGTGAATTGTGGCTCCTTATTAGTCCACATTGTGGTAATGAAAAGGTTGCAGATTCCAAGCTAACTGCATTAAACCATCAATTTAATTACATGGCAGATGCAATTGCCCATGCAAATTTAAAATATTTCCGTAATTTGCTTTGGAATCAAGTCCATGAGATGAGGACAGACCGAGCAACCAAAATAAAGGGGAAATAAGGGTGATCTCGGGGAAACAAGCAGGACGGTAGAGTAAATACGTGAGGGGTGATGATTCCTCCTAATCATTGTTTATCATCTTCGGAAGATATCTAATTAGCCCTTTCTAAAACGACTATTAGGAGATGGAAATAATTAAACACATTTATGTAACGTACACCAATACGAATATGCCGCTGACGTCTGAGTATTTTCAATAACCCCCAATATATCCAATATGCAATATCTTTTTCACGAGCTAGTATAAACCAATAGATTTCTTTGCGTTCGACTCTTGTTACTTCGGTACGGTTTCAGGTATTTGGCAATGTCCGATGAATGGAGGTCTAGCCACTCGACTGTTTAATTCTAGTAAGTTAGCAGTTGTGTGTGGGTTTGTATGTCCCGTGATTTGAATGAATAAGTTTGTTTCAGGACACTAGGGTTTCATGATACTAGCAGATATCACATTAACAGGCCGTACATCAGTTAGTTGCAATGTGGAGAATAATAATGCAAAAATTCCAGCCAAGTCAATATGTCGACAATTTAGTTTATTCATTGGTAAGCAAGTCGGGGGAAACAGAGATAATAGGCAAGATATATTAAGTTACTGATCAAAGGAGATGGCAATATTGACAGCAAACAGGTCTTAAGACTTTCCATCAGGTACAGCTTGTCCATGAGGTAGATAATGATCCATGAGTATACGTTCATCAAGTCTCTTCTTAAATCTGTCTACTGAGAGGGCTATGGTCGCCCCAGCTGGAAGAAAATTCCAAGTTTTAGCGAAACTTGAGTATTCGCTCGTGGATGAGCAAGTTTTTGAGGATTCTCTCAAGGGGATTGGTGGTGATGAGTCGGTAAGATATCCACGCAGGGCGTAGTTTGGCGTGCTTAGGATGTTGTACGCCATTATCATATCACTTCCGATTCTGATGTAACACAGGGGGAATAATCCCAAATTCTGGAATCTTTTCTTGTAAGTTTTATCTTTCAGCCCTATCAGCCACATCGTTGCTAGTCACTGCACTCGATCCACGAGATTTATGTCTCTTTTAGGTAGATGGAGTGTGATAACGTTGTCAACCTCAAGATGTGGTGTGCATATGTCTAAAACAGCGATAAGAATAATTTCGGGATGATAGCACCAAGCTGTCTTCGCATAAAAAAGTTACATTAGGCTTGGCTGCGTCTCATATATAGTTGGTTATTTAATAGAAATCATAGAAATCAATAATCATAATAATAAGAATATTTATTCTCAAATAACTACTTTACATGAGTCATGCCAGGTTAACGGGCTTAATCAAATTGTCACAAATGCTTTCACATTTACTGTAAAAGTTATAGCAGTTAAATTGAGTATAAGAGTCAGCATATTTACACCATGTCACTGACAGAAACAGTATGATAAAGCCACATTTTAAGTGGCAGAGTACAAATAAGAAAGGTGCACAATAGCTTTCTTTGGTGATTTGCTGAAATCAATAGTGAATTTGTTGGGAAAGGTCAGTTGGAATGCGCTTGATACGTGCTGTGATCCAGACAGTCAGGTGCATACGGCGCATGTTCTCTAGTGGCGCCAAGGATTTCCCGCCGTGAATGGGGTTCTGAAAAGGGAGAAAAGAGAGAGGGAAAAAGGCGGCAGAGTGGAAAGTGTATATATATAACCAAAGCACTACTAAACCTGTCATTTTGAAGTAGTCAATACAGTGGTAAGTTAAGATAAAATTCATGCTGACCACTAAAATTAAAGTAAATCATGGGGATATACGAATATAACCCACAGTTGAAGGAGTACAGCTAAGAAGAACGAACAGTTGTCGAGTGATTGATTTGTCTATATTTTGGCTACTAGCTTTGACTGGAAGTGAAGCCTGTCGATTCGAAAATTGGCAGTACGTCTGCTTCTCAATGCCAAGTAAAATCTTCGGTCGGAATTTTTTAAATAGACCCTCCAATTATGCCAGGTTCTCCTTTCCCTTGTAGCTAGCATACGTTGCCTGGCTTAACCTTTATTCTCTTTCGCCTGAAATATCGAATCCACGTACTTAATGGAACGAACAGTCAAAGACATGGAAGGGAAGGCATAACGGTGGACCTGAATATACAGTCAACATAATACGGAATTCTTATAATGAACTACACTGCGAAATCGTGCATAGGCGTCAGGTCACATGCTCACCGCAAGTGAAGTTTGGTACAGAGCTTCTTCTTTCGTCCTTTCTCTTCCTTTCTCTGGTTGACTGGATTATGAATACCTCAACATATCTGAGCAGATATACTGCTCCAAATAAAGTCCAGTTGGAATCCTTTAGTATTTTTTCCATGAAAATGAAAGAACTTAATCCCGATAAAATAAACTCTATTTAGTTTTATCACCTACAAAAAAGCATCAGTTATCATGTTTAGTTGTCATTCATTTATTCGTCGACCGTACTACCATTGTCTCCCTTGTCCTTTCACTAAATATCACCTCGTTTATGTGGTGTATACTATTAGCATCCATGAAATGGTTCCATTACTTCAAATACATATAAGTAAGAAACAATTTATCCCCGAGTACAATTAGCTGAAGCAAACTATAAGATTTAAAAGGTACTTCAGAGGAAGCAGCTAATCAACGATGTTTCTAGGATAATTCGACAATGTTTCGGCTTAAAAATGAAAATGTTATATAACGTTAGCATTTGATTTTTATCCCAAGATGTTTGTGTTGTAATATTAATTAAATCACTCAACACAGCCCTAACAAAAACAGGTGCACCAAGTTCGTTGAATAGGTACTTCATTCTAATTGTTTTAATGAATATCTTCTGGAAGCCAACTATAATCATAGTGTAGATTGAAAGGGTTGCACTTTAGAAATAAACGAGACTGAAAAAACTATATACAGAGCGAATCATGCGCTAAATAATTTAAAGAACAATTTAGTCTCTCATAAATTTTTCAGACTGTGAAAAACACTACATAGGACAGAGTGGACGGCCTCTTCAGCTTCGTTTACGCGAACACCGATTAGCCATCAAACGCCACGATAATTCCTCGCTTATATCAATACACACGGATAACTACGGGTTCTAATAATGTTGAAATAGTGGATAGGGTGACCGCAAAAAACACTGGAGAATTTTCAGAGGCTTGGCACTCAGGTCAATCAGCAATCAACAAACACATGGACACTGACTTAACTTATCTACCAGTCTGAAAATTCATAGGTGACACAGGATCATGAAACAGATCAAAAGAGGAATACAATCAAAACAATGGTGCAAACAACGACAGGGTAAGGTTAACAACAACCAATCAAGGTCGAGGTTAGTAGAACAAGCTACAGGTCAAACGTAGAGAAATTCGAACACTTCACTTATATTTGAAGTTTGTGCTGATGATGTTGTTCAGAATAACACTGAAAGCTCCATAACAAAAACATCCTGCTAAGAGAACGAAACACCTTCACAATCACCCACCTGAGCTACAAATTTTTCCACCATCCCAAAATGATATTCTGTTTTCGCTTACGACCCTTATGTGAAGTTATTATGAAAGGTAGAACGATCTGATAGTGAAGCAGTGTCTACTTTGGGATCCAAACTGAGGTTTGGACTGAGGAATTACTGTCTAGGTAGTTTAGATACACTCCTTCATCAGATGGAATAAGAACAAGTGATTTGGGTAAATAACGGTTCTACTATTCATCATAAATATAAATTTACATCATTACCTTAACAGTTTGCCACTCAGTAATTCCACCAACTATTGTCCAATTATTCAAATCAACAGGAACAAATAACTGATATTCCATCCCTCCTGGATAGATCAGATTTGTTCGACAGATGATATTTGATTGCTTTATAACACAGTGTTTCCAATTCTCGAAAAGCGCTTCAATTCACACTCAAAATGCACAGTTCCAGTACAAGCAAGCAACCTAATCAACAGAGGAACAAATCAGTATGACTGTAGCCGTGGCTGAGAATCAGCTTAAACAACATAATGTAGTTCAGACGAGACACAGAAACTAAGTAAAGGCGGAAGAATTAGAAACTATAATAAAATACAAATATTATCATCTCAAAATAGAATCGAACAGATTAAGAAA